GGGAGGTGCAAAAGGTGCCAGCCAAATCCCACGTTCACAGGCTTCTCCCGCCTGTGATTTTTGGTGGGTCCCCGCCTTCGCCGTGGCGGCCAGAACCTAATTTCCACGAAGCAAATTCCTCCCGATCAGAGGAGTTCAGCCATTACCGGAGGCGCTAACCCGGAAGTCTCTAGCCAAGGCAATGTAGAAGCACTCATTCCTTGGAAAACAGACAACCAGAGAGTTACACTGGTGAAACCAGTGGCGGGTAGTTCCAAAGGTGGAACTGAAACAACAGGGGATTGTTACGTATATAACAACTGTTTTCTTCTCTGGATCAAGCTTTGTTCGCAGCTAACGTTGAATCATATGGGGGAGTATGTTGGGATATGAGTACAACACAGCTGCAAACAAGCAGCTCGATGTTTACATCACATGATGTGGCTAGTCCTGGGAAAGAATGTACCAGGCAGTTCACAGGGATTTGTTCTGTGTATAATATGAGACCTTCCTGTTGCATATGTGAAGGAAGTCTTAGTCAGTTGCTTGGAGGAGACTGAACTGAACAGACATGTTTTTGTACAGATGTAAAGTCAGAAATAAACCGTAGAAATGTAAAAGACTTTCTGACTATCTTCTTTCTCCTGCTGGTATGCAAGGGGAGAAGGGGGTGTGCATCTTCCACGCTGGGGGATGTCGCCTATCAAGACCCCTCTGGACTGCCGAGATGCCAGCCAGAGTAGGTCACCAGAGACAAGCCCCGGGAGCCTGGAGAGGGGCCAGCCTCTCCCGAGGGGTCATGTAATCCAACACCCGGTCTCCATGCTGGGTAGTCGATAGGAGCCAATGCCTAAGGCCAATACCTTCCAATTCCTGTAATCAATAAAGTTGTGGCCTTTTTATGCCCATTAACCTTAAATAATGTGTCCGGTGTCTTCATTTCACATGGGGGATGGGACTTGCCACGCAAATGAGAGATTTCATGCAGTATATATATCCTCCAGGCACCCTCTTCCCCCCTTCCCCAGGAATCCAGGCACGTCAGCTTGTACACGCGGGTTGACATCACAGATGTTCCTGCTCCGGTACTCTTAACCATAAAAGGGTTTTCCTTCCTGTACTTCTGACCATAAAAAGATATTCCTGTTCCTATACTCTTATCTTGGAGCAAGAGGTCACCAACTCCAAGAACACACTCTGGCACTGTTCCCGGACTAGGTCTGTGCGTCAGAGTGTGGTAAGATAAGACCCAGACATGTCATCCCTACTCCACTGGAACAGCCAAGGTCATCCATTGCCATGACTGATAAAGGAGATAGCTTTGTTTATACAGCTGTGTTCTTGTTATGCATTTTGCTCAACAGCTCAAGTTAATGCATTTTAGAAATGCTCCCTTGGAGAAAGAAGAAAAGGGGGGGGTTGGGTGCCTTTCAAACTGACTACACAGAAACCCATTCCTTCAGTACGACAGAGGACGAGATGGTTGGACAGTGTTCTCAAAGCTGCCAACATGAGTTTGACCAAACTGCGGGAGGCAGTGGAAGACAGGAGTGCCTGGCGTGCTCTAGTTCACGGGGTCACGAAGAGTCAGAAACCACTAAACAACAACAGCAAAATGTAAAGTAACCCCTTCATGGATCACTGCCTTGTTGTGGTGAAGGGGCTTGAATAACTCCAATAAGCTATGAGTTATGGCGTGCAGGGCCACCCAAGACGGACAGGTCATAGACTAAATGTGATCCACCTGGAGAAGGAACTGGCAAACCACTCCAGTATTTTGCCAAGAAAACTCCATGGACATAAAAAAAGGAGAAGCTTTGAGAAGAAAAGTGAGAGTTTCCAAGGCATGCTCTGGTTCATGGGGTCACAAAGGGTTGGACACGACTAAGATGACTAAACAACAATGTAAAGTAGATTGCTTTAAAACAATATTAAAAGAATATTAAATTAACGAAATAATGCCGAGCACTATTTAGGGCAGTGGTGTCCAAACTTTTTTCAAAGAGAGACAGATTTGATTAAGTGAAGGGCCATGAGGGCTGGCCAAAGGGCCAACCAAAGTAAGTTGTTGACCTTTTTAGGATTGAAGTTTTTTTTTAAAAAAATTAATTTTATTTTTTACCAACAACCAAAACACAAACAGTGAAACCCCCAAGGTGGCTGATACATTGGGTATACATATTCAATACAGTGGTACCTCGGGTTACATACGCTTCAGGTTACATACGCTTCAGGTTACAGACTCCTCTAACCCAGAAATAGTACCTCGGGTTAAGAACTTTGCTTCAGGATGAGAACAGAAATCACGCAGCAGCGGGAGGCCCCATTAGCTAAAGTGGTGCTTCAGGTTAAGAACGGACCTCCGGAACGAATTAAGTACGTAACCAGAGGTACCACTATATGGTATTTGAGTATGGCAATATACTTATTCAATAATATACATACTCAATAATATTGAATAATAACATGTTCAAATCAACCATATGTACACTTCTATATACCTTAACACTCCTCCCTCCACAAGGTTTATTTAACTTTAAACATTTTAATTGCCCCAAATTGTTCAAACCTACCCAAATAATTCAATATCCTCTCAAACCAATCCTCCTCTTTCTCACTGAGCTTAAACCTTTTCATTCTATGTATGAATTGAATTGAACTTTATTACGGTCACAGACCAGGATAAAAAAACAAAAACAAACCAGCAACATATAAATAAAATAGCAGTTAGGATATTTTTTTTAACTTATAAATGTTGGAGCAAATAAGGACAAAGAAACAAGCATAGGATAAAACATCTGAATAAAAGACAAGATTAAACACGGATAATGGATGGATAAAATCTGATAATTAAAACAGATAAGAACTAAAACCAAATAAAAACATGCAGTTAAAACACCTGTAAGAGTGTAAGAACTAAAAGACTCGCAGTTAAAACAACTATAAGAGGCTGCAGAGTAGAGGCCTCTGAAATAGATGACACTCACAGCATTAGAAACTGATGTGCAAATATGGTTAAAACAGACAATTAAAACAATGTATAACAAATTTAGAAACAATGTGCAACAATAAACTATCCCAGGGAGTTGACTCAGAGTCACCCATGGAACTGAGTTTGGGGATTTTCATGCCGGGCTATTTTGAGTTGGGCGATGCTCTGCGCCTACAGATTTGTACACAGAATCTGGCGACCATCCAGGTCTTCTTCTGATCTTTGCCTAACAGCAAAAGGTCATATTTTTGCTTTTGCAGGAGGTCGGCGAGCCTCACCAGTAGGCGATCAATGAACTTACTACGTGCCTCTTCGTAAAAGGGACATCTAAAGAACAAGTGTTCTGGGCTTCCTATCTCTCCCAATGGACAGGTGCAAAGTCTCTGGGCATAGGGGACTTTTCTAAAGGTTCCATCCAGGACCGGCGAGGGAAGAGCCGTGCTTCTGGCGAGTGTAAAGTCCCTTCGTGCATTTCTAGATACGAGAAAGAAGAGATATGCTGCCGGTGCGGCGATATATCTCTCGATCTCTCCAATTTTATAGTCGGGGCACCTTGTTCAGTCCTGTTGTCTCTTGGTATCTAATATTCTTTGCCTGACTGTGGCTTTTGCCTGGCCCAAGCCCAGACTTAGAAGGGCTTGAGGGGCAAAACCCAGTCTCTGGAGGGTGTTCAGAACTGCAGTCTGCCAGCCTGACTGGAATTGGTCACAGAGGATCAGTGGGGCTATCCCTCGGGGGAGCAGATTCAATGTAAGCCATTTGTAGATTGATGTTAAGCAAATGCTAGCCTCCACTCTCATCATCCCCGTTTCCAATCTCACCGATGCGTTTGAGAACATCTGGGGACTTGGAGGAGAGCTCTAAGAAGTCTAGATTGAACTCTCTCAAGGGGGGAGAAAGCAGAGGAAGGCGGACCCAAAAAGGAACATTTTGGGCTGTATCATGAGGGAGGAATTTTACCTTGATGATATTTTCTGCTGTCACAAGGCCCCTGGTGACTAATCCGTTTTTTGGGGAATATTTACTTTTCTTTGAGCATATGATGGGTATCCTCTATTTGTGGGAAGTATTGTGAAGGCAAGTTTGTGATTATTTAACGTTAGCTTCCAACAAGTCTGTGTTGTTTTATCTTGATCCTTTCTTGTTATGTTAGGGTACACGGGATTTCTTTGCGATGTCAAGAGAAGGGTTGGTTGCATGGGAGCCGGAATTTCCTTTGGATTTTCTATTTCCCCACTAGAGGGCGGTGTGTGATCTGCTGGGGCGTGGGGCTTTTCCTCAGAGTGCTTTATTGGCATGCATGAGTTTGTGATTTTCTTTTGGGTTGTAGGAGCAAAATTCTTTGTTGTTATATTCTCCAGCAGCTTAAAGAGCTTCTGGAAATTCGTTTTTTTAGTCCGGCGGGTCGGCGTTCCCTTTTGGCCTCTCAATTTGATGTTTTTGGTCTTCTTCATTTTTTGTGTTGAGCATTTTCTCTTTAAGGTTGGTTTCTTGGGAGCAAGGGACCCTCCCTCCTGCACTGAATTGTTTCTGGGGTTTTTTTGTAATTGAGTCCCGGCTTGGTTTCACCTCCATCAGTCCTATTCCCAGATGTCATGTGAGGGAAAGCGACCTCATGGTTCTTAATCAATTCACTTAGCGTGGTAAGCAGGTTCAAGCTTTCCGAAAGGAAATTTTTAATTGGCTCAAGTTCTTTGCTTATCTGTGTGAAATGAGTTTTGAGTAACTCTTCGAACATCCCTGACAAGTAGAAGATAAGGTTGTCCGGGTGCTGTAACCTTAAGCTGTTTGGCCATTTGTCTGTCTCAGTCGGGGAAGGGCAACTTAAATTCTCTCCTGATAGGGAGGGGAGGCTCATTTGACATGGCTTCTAGGTTTTCAAGAAATAGCTCCTGTTCTAAACTTGCTTCAGGTCCCTCTTTGGCTAGCTCAGCTTGTTTTAGTTCTGTTGCCAAGTCCACTCCCTCACCTCCAACGTTAGTTTTTTCCTCCCTTCCATTCCAGGTGTGGTCAATAGACCACTCATGAGAATGGAGGTGTCAGGGGTTCAGGGAGAGAGGCACAGGGTAGGCAGGAGATGGAGAGCGATGGGGAGGAATTCCAAGCCAGCGAGGAAGAGGATGACAATGACTCAAGAGATTCCATGAGTCTTTCCAGCGAATCAGAGGATTCCCAGAAGGGGGCGCCGGTGGTCAAGGCCAGGGGAGCCCCAGGGGGGACGTGTCAGGAGCAGGGTGCCAGCGGAGGATCCCAAAGTGGCAGCTGGGCGTCAGGACCAGCCTCCCCACCAGAGTGCAGCGAAGGGGGTGGAGTTTCCAGTGTGTCAGAGGAAGCAGCTCCGGCAGCAGAGAAAGGAGGGGGTCAGAGCAAGCCGCCCTCCCGGAAGGGGAAGGGAGCAGTGAAGGGAGTAGTGTAACTGTCAAAAGGAAAGTTAGAGGTTTGGCGCGCGCGCCTAGTTCAAATGTAGAGGCGCGCGGAAGTACAGGGAGCCCGGAGGAGGGGCCAGGTCCCAAAGCCAGCAGGAGGGGGAAGAGCAGTCTGATTCCGCGTCAGAGGAATCCAGGAGGGGCGAAACCCCAGCGGGCAGAAGGACCCTGCGGAAAAGGAAGGAGAGAAAGAGGTGGAGCAGCGCAAGTCTCTTAAATTGGTGCAGGGGAGGGACTGACTCAGAGGGGACTTCAGCGGTCTAAGCGTAAGAGACGTAAGGCTGCGCGCCTAGGATGTCAAGCAAACAAATGAACTGCAATAAACACCTTTGTATATAAGAAGACATAGGCGTTGGTCTTTTGTGAGCTGAGACTTGAGGCAGCCTTGACAGTAAGTCCCCTCTCAAAAGAACCGCAAAATTTTTTTTTGCAAAGCTCACGAAGTTTGGCAGCGATGACTACTGAGGAGCAGATAGCGTCCCTGCAAAACGCAGTCACCGAGCTCTCCACTGCCGTCGTGGTGTCTCAGAAAACGGTTGCCGAAGCAGAAGCGCGATGCCAGGATCTGCAAGCCAGGTGGGATCGGGCGTGCAGAGAGGGGTTCCCGGGGTCCAGATCAGAGGGAATCGGACTCGGACGGAGGGGGGGCAATTTAGTAGCCCACTTCGATGGAAACCTGAAGCATTATCCCAATTTCAGAGCAGACGTCGTATACGCGCTGCATTTGCTTCGAAAAGACTTCAAAGATGAGGAGGAAAAAGTAGGTTTTATTGTGTCTCATTTACATGGGGAAGCAAGGACCTGGTTACGCAATTTGTGGCGCGAAGATGGTCTTGCACGCAGGGACTCTGATGAGTTTCTCAAAGCCATGGACGCTTGTTTCCAATCTACTGTTGACGTTGATGTGGCACGCCAGGAGATGCATGGATTGCGGCAGGGCAAGGCTACAGTGCGTCAGTACCATTCTCGCTTTTTTGCATTGCTGAATGTGCTGGGCTGGGAAAAGGACTCCCTGGCAGTGAGAGACTTGTTCTGGGAAGGGCTTCATGGCTCAGTGAAAGATGAGCTGGCTAGGGGACAGACCTCAAACCCTAGCAGACGTCGTGCAGAGGGCACTCACGATAGGGGTGCGCCACGAAGAACGCCCTTGGCACAGGGAGGAGGGGCGTCACGCCCGCCCACCAGCTAGAGCGCCTCCTTTTCCTTCCAGGGACCTGGAACGTTCAAACCTTTTGCCTGTGCTGGCAGGGGGAAGAACCAATGGAACTGGGTGGTGCAAAGGCTCAGACAGCTGCCGGAGCCTCAGCGTCCGGAGCAGTCAAAGCGAAGCCTCCTAGAGGGACCAGGAAGTGTTACATCTGTGACAGTGCACGGCACATGGCTAAAGAGTGTCCCCAGAGGCTCCAGAAGCACACTGCAGCCTTAGCAACAGTAACAGGGGAAGCGTTCCAAGGGGAACAGTTTCAGGGAAACGAGAATGCCTTGTTGGAGGGAGAGATGCTGGGGCTCCACCAGGCAAGTCAGTGAAGCAGTCCCCAGCTCTTTTGCAGCCTACAGACCCCTTACCACCCAAGCCAGTGGTGCAGCTCACTGCTACTCTCCAGCTGCCTAATGGACTCACCCTGGAAGTCCCCATTACGATTGACTCAGGGAGCAACGCAGACTTCGTGGGGGTGCAGTTCGTCAAGCAGCATCGCATAGCGCTACTACCAGCCACGCTGCCTCTGAATGTGGTCACTGTAGATGGCAGGAAGTTGCTGGGTGGGCAAGTGGTACAACAGACGCCACCCATGCTGCTGCAAATTGGGAATCATCGCGAGGTCATCAGTTTCAATGTCACCCAACTGTCAGACACGCCCATAGTGTTAGGCATGAGTTGGCTGGATAGACACAGCCCATCATTGGCGTGGTACCAGCGGCAGCTCACCTTTGGCTCGTCCTACTGCGCACAACATTGCATCCAGACCGGCCAGGAGGAGGAGAGCCAGGAGGAAGGGCAACAGTTGCATCTAGGCATGGTGCAGGCAGTGCCCCACAAGTACAAGGGGTTTTTTTGGAGGTCTTCTGCGAGAAGGAAGCTGACCAATTACCACCCCACCGGCCCTACGACTGTGCAATTGACCTCTTACCAGGGGCGACGCTACCGACTGCGAAGCTGTATTCCATGTCTGAAGATGAGATGCAGGAGCTCAGGGAGTTCATAGATCACAATTTGAAGCGGGGATTCATCCGAGAATCCAAGGCAGTGGGGGGCAGTCCTGTGTTTTTCGTGAAGAAGAAGGACACGCCCCAAAAACGGCTCATTGTGGACTATAGGGCCATAAACTCGATGACAAAACCCAAGGCTTTCCCCATGCCCAAGATTGACGACCTGCTCGCGACGGTAAGGAAGGGGAGGATCTTCACCAAGTTGGATCTACGCGGAGCATACAATCTAATACGCATGAGGGAAGGTGACGAGTGGAAGACGGCCATGTTCACGCCGCTGGGCACCTATGAATACAGAGTTATGCCGTTTGGTCTCCAAGGTGGCTCCCACTGTTTTCAAGCATTCATGCACCACGTGTTAGCAGGACTCCTCTACAAGAAGTGCGTATGCTTTCTCGACGATATTCTGATCTTCTCGGAATCGCAGGAGACTCACGACAGAGACGTAAAGGAGGTCCTGCAGAGGCTACGGGAGCACAGACTCTACGCCAAGCTGGAGAAGTGCCAGTTCGACGTGACGGAGGTGGATTTCCTGGGCTACCGGCTGTCCGACAAGGGACTAGCCATGGACAGCGCCAAGGTCCGCGCAGTGTTGGACTGGAATAGCCCGCGCAATCGGAAGGAGGTCCAGAGGTTCGTCGGCTTCGCCAACTTTTACCGCAAGTTCATCAGGGGTTTCGCAAAAGAGACGGCAGCTATCACGGACACCCTCAGTTCCAAGAAGAAAAAGTTCACCTGGACGGACCAGGCGGAGCAGTCCTTCAGGAGACTTAAGAGTCTCTTCGCGTCCGAAGACCAGCTGCTACACGTGAATCCCGGCAGGCCCATGCGGGTTGAGACTGACGCATCTGACAGAGCAGTGGGGGCCGTCCTCTTGCAGGAAGATTCGCAAGAGAACTGGAGGCCCTGCGCTTTCTACTCCCGGAAGCTCAGCAAGTCGGAACAGAACTACACCATCTGGGACAGGGAGTTGTTGGCCATCCACGCGGCTTTCAAGGCGTGGCGGCACTTCCTCATCGGAGCCAAGCACACCGTGCAGGTCCGCACGGACCACAAGAACCTAGAGTATTGGCGCACGGCGAAGCTCCAGAGCCAGAGGCACATGAGATGGGCGGAGTTCTTTGCGGATTTCGATTTCCGGATAGAGTATATCCCGGGAGACAACAACGTCATAGCGGATGCGCTCTCCAGAAAACCGCAGTATCTCGAGGAAGCGGCACCAGTGGCAGCCAGGCACATTTTCGCACCGCAAGCGTGGGCGTGCGCTTCCGCCGCCGTGGACCTGGATGCGGTACGACGCGCGCTACAGACGGATCCGTTCGCACAATCCAAGATGGAGGAGGTGCGAAGAGGGACAGCAAAGGACGGCGAATTCCAGATACGCGACGGCCTGCTGACCCGCAAAGGTGCTCTCTACGTCCCGGGAGACGATCTCCGCGCGAAGGTTTTACAGCAGTTACACGACGCCCCAGCGCGGGTCACTTCGGCAAGGAAAAGACGGCGGACTTAGTAGCCAGAGACTTTTGGTGGCCCCAGATGCGGGGAGAGGTCGCGGATTACGTCGCCAGGTGTGACACTTGTCAGAGCTCCAAGCCAGTGCACAAGAAGCCAGCGGGATTGCTGGAACCGCTGGAGACGCCACTGCAGCCGTGGGAAAGGGTGGCGCTGGACTTTGTCACTGATCTGCCCAGTTCGCGGGGCAAGACGGCGGTGCTTGTGGTTGTAGATCTGTTCACCAAGATGGCGCACTTCATTCCTTGCGCGAAGGTGGCAACAGCGGAACAGACCGCCAAGCTGTTCATAGACCACGTGTTCCGGGTGCACGGCTTACCACGGTCCATTTTGTCCGACCGGGGTCGCCAATTCATTTCCAGTTTCTGGCAGAAGCTCCTGGGCATCCTGAATGTCAAGATCAACTTAGCGTCGGCGAGACACCCGCAAACCAACGGCCAAGCGGAGAGGGTCAACGCCATCATGCAGCAGTACCTGCGATGTTACGCCAATCAAAAGCCTGCAACTTGGGTGGACTACTTACCGATGGCCGAGTTTGCCTACAACAACACGAAGCACGCGTCAACGGGGGTGACACCGTTCTTCGCCAACAATGGGCGACATCCCAGAACCTTCCCGGCGTTGGAGACAACGACGCAGGGGGGTCGCAGGGAGCGGAACATTTAGCAGCAGAATTGCAGGAGGTCCACGAGGAGCTACGACGGCACTTGGAACTAGCTAAACACGCCTACAAAGTGCAGGCAGACAGGCACAGGAGGGCAGGAGAAGACATCCAGGTGGGGGACTGGGTATGGTTAGCAGCCCAGGCGGTGCCGGCCAAGTCGTTAGCTAAGAAGAAGCTAGGACACAAGCAGCTAGGGCCATACCAAGTTGAGGGCAGGATCAATCCCGTAGCTTTTCGGTTGACCCTCCCAGAGGATTCCCGAATGCACCCGGTCTTTCATAGGTCGGTGCTTACACCCTACAAGGCCCCACACAGATTTCAGGAGCCAGGGACGGCACCAGACCCACATAGAAAGTCACCGGGGGGGGGGGGAGTCACCGAGGACCCTGACACTCAACGAGGTCACGGAAATTCTGGACTCGAGATGGGGGGAGGAGGGAGTGGAATACCTCCTCGCCAGGGAAGGTACCCCGGCCAGCGCCAACAGTTGGGTGCCAGATTATGCTCTGGAGGAACCTTTGCTTAAGGACGAGTTCCATGCACTCTTCCCACACAGGCCCATGCCAGCGGAGTATTTTGACGACTGGCTTTTTACCCCACACTTTCAGGCAGCACCTTCCGGGGGTTCTCCTCCGCAGAGGAGACCACGCCGCAATCGAGCCCTCCAAGGGGATCGTGCTCGGGGGTGGACACGGACCGCTCTTATTGGTGGGACGATCAACCAGAAGTGGGGTGGCGAAGGGGCCCTTGGCAAGCAGCGTCGCCTGACGTAACAGGGGGGGGGAAGGATTTGGAGGTTTTGGGGGCGGACACCGGTTTCGAGCCCTACTACACGGACCTGGACGCAGCGGAGACCGACGTCGACGCACTGTAACCCGCCTCTAGCCCCGCTACCCCGAAGCTCCCGGAACCTGCGCCCGAGCAGCGGGAGGGGGGAAGGGGGGGCTTCGAGGGGGGGATGGATGTCAGGGGTTCAGGGAGAGAGGCACAGGGTAGGCAGGAGATGG